GAAACGAAGGAACCGTTTATTCCTCTATGCTAAATTATTCGACATAGATATTCAAATATATATATACCTCACAATTAGTTCGGTGTCATGAATGAAAACCTAGTGAGAATATCGTCTTGAATAAATAGTCAAGGTTGGATTCGAACAAAACAAACATTAGTTCCAGTATCAATCCCTTTACTGGTATATCTTTCTACCGAATAAGTTTCAATGGTTTTCAATGTAAATAAGTATTAAAATAACAAGTGGACGAATATTTGAAATCGTTTTAGTAACGCGCTAGCCACATATTATGCCGAATATTTCGAATAAGAAGAAGAAGCTTAGTTAGAAGATTGAAGAACGGAGTACTTGAGAGATGTAAGTTGAGTCGATCCGAAAGTGAGACGTGTACGATCATCCTACCTTAAATATCTTTAAGTAGTTAAGAGATTTCATAGTGTTTCCAAAGTGACAACGCGAAGACAGTAGATATGTTGAATCAAACGAAGACGAAGTATTTACAAGTTTAAAAAAAAATCCCTAAAAAAAAAAGAAAAAAAATAAAAGAACTGAAGTGATAAATCAACTAATCAAAGATGAGAACGATTCTAACAATATCAACGCTGTGTTGCGTTATACAATTCGCAATTAGTTACAATATTTTATTAGCCACTATGGGTGGTACGAAATCGCATACGGTGCCGTTCATTGCACTTGGTAACGCTTTAAAATCCCGAGGTCACAATGTAACCCTCGTAAGTGCATTCTCAGGACCAGGAAATAACAACGGACTTAAAGAATTGGTACCAACGATTCTCGAATCTTACGTACACAATTACACAGCCGAGTGGGATCTCGTGGGTGCCAGATTCCGCAATGAACTTCCACTTTCGCCTTGGAACGCTATGAGATACGGTTGGGAGGCGTGCGAGTCTTTACTACAGGACGACGTTTCGGTCAGTGCTCTCAGAAAACCGGATGGAAGTCTACGCGAACGATGGAACGTTGCCGTGGTCGACGGTGCTTATCCAGAATGTCTCTTGGCAGTTTTACACGAAGAAAATATACCGACGATTATGTTGAATACGGTATAAATATATATTTATTGCTTTTTGATTAAAACGTAAGACAAGTAATTGATCGAATGAATTAATTGAATTTATCTATAGGTTGCTCTTTACACTGGTTCGATAGGACGACAAGGAAATCCATCACCATGGTCCGTGACACCATATTTTGGGAAAGCCTTAACCCAAGATATGAATTTTCTTGAGAGAATCGTTAACGGTGCTTGTTTAATCACCCTAGAAATCATGTATTGGTATATGATCAGTGTCTATCTACAACCCACGCTTCGAAAGTACTTAGGTAACTTTCTACCCGTCCGTTAACAAACTTTTTGACATCCACGTCATTCATCGCACGCGTTGTTCCACGTCGAATAATAATAGAAAAGAGAAAAAAGATAAAATGTTGAAGAGAAAATAATAATACTTTTTTTTACAGGCGAACAAATCCCCGACGTAAGACATCTGACCTCGGAAATACCGTTGACTTTACAAAATAGTCATTACAGCGTAGCCGATTCCGTACCGTATTTGGCGAACGTAGTAAATGTGGCTTGTCTACATTGCAGACCAGCAATGCAACTCAGTCCGGATTTAAATTCTTTCCTACGCCGAGGTAAAATCGTTTAATATTACCTTTTAATTTTTATAACAAGAAAAAAAGAAAAATATCAAGCAGATCGTTACACGTTTAATATCTACGATAAGTGTTTCAAAGTAATAGCTTAAACACGTTACGATCTTGCATAACGATCATTTGAAAAAATATGCAAACAGGAGATTCAATAAATATCTCATTAATATACAAAATTTTTGAAATTTCAAATCGCAATATATGTCGCCTTAAATTATCCTTTGCGGAAATTATATATGAAATATTAACCGATATAAGAACGTTTTAAAAATCATTTGATCGATAATTTGTGCTAATATATAAAAGTTTTATGAAAGTTTGAACATTATACTGTTAAATGTATCATATTATAACCGTTAAAAGCAATAAAACGCGCGTTCTTAAACATTGTATTAAGTTTGTCTCGTATGAACGCAACTAAAATAAAATTGTATCTCTTTTTGCTTATTACTATAAAACGTGATTGGGAAACTTTGTCAAGTAATAATCCTTAACTGATATTACGTAGCACTTGCTACGAAATGAATAGTAATGAATGTCAAGTAAATGAATAGTTCTTACATAACGACATATTTTCTTATCGCAAAAATCTCAAGCATTTGCATATGTCTCAAACAAGATAAATTTTCCTCTAATGTACTTTCGCTTCTTCGTTAATTAATATCTACATTGCGGAATAAAAATGTTATCGCGTAGGTATTTTTGTTAAATGAAAGAAGAAAAAAAAAAAAAAAAGGGAAAACGAAAAGTAAGTTAAAGGTTTCCGTCAAACAGGTTTCGTCTTCGTCTCAATGGGTTCGTCCGTAAGAGCTTCCGGGATGCCAACAGCCTTGCGTGAAATTTTTGTTGCGGTATTTGCTACTTTACCTTACAACGTCGTCTGGAAATGGGAAGGAGGAAAAATAAAGGATTTACCGGTGAACGTTAGAACGGCAGCTTGGTGGCCTCAACAAGAACTTCTCGGACATTCGAAACTTCGAGCTTTTGTTTCTCATGGTGGTCTTTTATCCTTACATGAGGCAGCTTATCACGGTTCACCTACTTTGGTCCTACCTGTTTTCTGTGACCATGATGGAAACGCAGCTCAAGCTGGTAAAGTATTTAAGTCGAATTAACCCGATGGGAAATTAAATAAAACGTTCGTCTTGTCTATTTCTTAACTCTATTCAATGTATTTTCTTAAAAATGAACAATGATATGGCTTCCTTAATGAAATGTAAACAATTAGAAAAACAGCTCGAGCGCATTCTCTATTCATCTATTCTGAGCTCTGGGTCATGTTAAACTACGAAGCGTAAATTGAAAGCAGAATTTCATCAGAGATTACGTCAAGTAGGACGAATAACAAGAGATAGAGAAATAGAGAAAGGGAGAGAGAGAGAGAGAGAGAAAGAGAGATAAATAGAGAGAGAGAGAGAGAGACAAACGTAATAAATGCAAGTTTGAGTTTAGAAACACATAAATCATACGTCATTTTGTCTAGTTAGAATTGCGTATTACATAAACAAATGTACACGCAACATTTTCAAAAGAATGGGGGGGGAGAATATAATTAAGTTACACTTCATTAGAACGTAAGAATCATTTTTTAATACCATTAACTCACTTTGCTCTTTCTCTTCTTTGTGGTTGATTTTCAGAAAAACTTGGTTACGCTTTAGTGATGGACCTTGCTACATTGTCGGTAGGAAGCCTTCGCGATGGTATACTTAAGGTTGCTGCATTGCGAAACAACACTTATCGAAAGGCTGCAAAAAAACAAAGTATTTTATTACGAGATCTTCCAATTGGTCCGCGAGAGCTTGCCACCTGGTGGGTCGAACACGTTGCAAGACATGGCGAAGCCAATCACCTTAAGAGTACGACGAGGTAATTTTGAAAAATATTTACCGAAGCGCTTGTGAGTTGAGAAAGAAAAATATCTAAAGGTAGGGGAGAGAAAGATAGACGATCGTTGCAATCGTTCACCGCTATGTTGCGAATAAAAATGACAGTAGTGGAGATTAATCGTTGCAAAACGAGCTCGTACATTTTCGATGATTAATAGCTATTTTATTCTTATATATTTTCAGGCACATGGGCGTAATACGTTATTATTCATTGGACGTCGGTGCATTTTACATAGTAATCATCATGGTGCTGATCTACGGATTAAAACGTCTATGTTGGAGGCAGATAAGGAAGCAGGGGACATTCAAAAAGAAGATAGACTGATATCGCGAACACAATAGAAACTTAAAGAAATTGAAATGTTATTTATTATGCTATAAGTACCTTACCTTAATACATAAATATATACCTTCCTCTACCCTTGATTGTTAAACCATATCTAAGAATGAGAACATAAGAAAGAAAGATGGACGCGTAGGTGGAACGAATAAAGTATTTACGTTCGATCGTTGCTCATTTGTTTATCCTAATAAAAAAAACAAACTTATGCATCTAGATTGATGAAGTCGAATAGAAAATTTATGAGTCATGGAAGAGAACGGGTTTTTTTAAAACGGACGAGTTTGATAAGCGGTCGGTAAAGAAGGAATTACTTCCGGTACGAAGAAAAGAACAACCGTCGGTAAATTAAACGTCGAATGAATCAGGCCGCGCACTAGATAATAATTTGCGATCTTTCGTATATGGTTTCCGGTATTGAAAAGCCTCAAGGAATGCAGTTGTAATATGCACATAGTTCGTTTGTATTAGTTTTATTACAGCTACGACTGATAATAATCGTAGATCGTGATAATAAAGATTTGAAAATTACAAGTACAAGAAGAATCTACGGCTTGAATATGTTAATATTTATCTCGAGCTAGAAAGGTTTTTTTTTTTTTGAAAGTTTTGTTATATTATACCATCAAGTTCTAAGATCCATTAAATCATGTCATTTTCCACATAATTTAAGTTAATTATAGGTTCATAGGAGAAAGATAATCTTCAGGAACAATAGAAATGCATAAAAGAGAGTCAAGGCGTAAAAAGTAGAAAATATAAATATAAATAAACGAAGGTGATTCTCTCTCTCGAAAAAGAGAAAAGCCCGGTGCCCCGAGAGACGTTATAGGTTAACCTTGAGGCTCATCACAAAGCATGCATGATTCGAAATTAACCGTCAGAAACGTTCGAGAGGTTCAACAGGAAACGTCTCGGTAGTTTATCAAAAGCTTACGGCAATCTACGGCTTGGACACTTTATCAAAGGAAGAAAGAGAGAGATTGTTTAGACTTCATATACATTAAGGCAGAAGAAAAAGGGAAGCCCATGCAGCTAAAGGAAAAAAAAACTAGGCAGGAAAATAAGGGAGCCGAGGTAAGAAAGAAATTCGTTACGGGAACAGGATCGTAAATACTTCAGGTGCTATTACGTACGATATCTAATATCGAACGAACCAAAAATATTTCTTCTCACGTTTCCCATAAAAATACATACGTAAAATAATCGATTAACTTTTTTTCCAAATCGATATACAAGACAAATAATTAAAAGAGATTAGATAATAATGAAAGGGTAATAATGAAAAGGAGTAGGGCGACGCGATTGCACAAGTACGGTACATAATTAGTTAAGGGCTACGCACGAGTGGCGGCGCATATGTCGAATTCCTAAATAAAAGAACAAGAGAGAAAGAGAGAGATAGGGTGGGGACAGAGACAGAAAGAGAGAAAGAGAGAAGAAGAATAAGAAGAAGAAGAAGAGAAAGAAAGAAAGAAAGGAAGAAAGAAAAATAGAAAGAGATAGAGAAAAAGCCACGAGGGCCTATACCGGTGGACGTTTTTGGTAGAACGACGTATCGCAAATCTCGCATTGTCGTTTCAAAATCGTTCTAGTAATCGTTGACGTTTACTAATCGTTCCACGTCTTCTGGTGTTAAAAACAACAACAAACAAATAAAAATTAAAACAAAGGAAAGAAATAGAGAGTGTAAAGGAGAGATAAATAAAAAGAAAAAGATTCTAAGTGCGTGAATGCGTACGTGCGTGTATAAATCGCGTCGGTCTGCTGTCTGTGGGCCGCGCTGGCTCCGATCATGTTCGACGATCAGTACCAGCTGACTCGTTCGTCGGCACAGAACGTGTTTAGACGACGATGCGTCGTCGTTCGTTTCAACGATTCCAACGTCAATAATTTAAACAACGATAACAAGGTGGGAAAAAAAAGAAGGGGAAGGAGAAGAAGAGAAAGAGAGGAAGAGGAAAAAGATAATCGTAAACGAAGTGAGGGGAATTAAATTTGAAAGAAAAAAAACGATAGGAAAATAGGAATTTTTCTATCTAACTATTGTCCTACGACATTTCGTTGTGCCGCCGCCACCGTCGTTGCTTCCTCCTCGTAACTTTGCTAACGCGCGCGCGCGCGTACACACACGCCCTCCCTGCTTTTCCCTCCACCCTTCGTTTCTCGCGCTCTCTCCCCCGTCAACCAGCCCTCCTACCAACCTTCCTTCCTTCCTTCCTTCCTTCCCCCACTCTCTCTCTCTCTCTCTCTCTTTCTTTCTAACACACGCTCTCTTTTCCGATCGTACAATGCATACAGTGCAACGCGAACTACTTAAACGCGCTCTTCGTAACAGAGCCATAGACAAAGTATCCTAGTCACGATCATCATAATATCGTGAAATTCGTGTTTCTTTTGTTACGTTTATATGTGCGTAGAGAGGTGGTGTGTTTTGTTCCTTGTGCGTGGCGTATTAAATCTCTCACTTTATTTCTTTTATACAAGAAACAGAGAAAGAAAGAGAGAGAGAGAGAGGGAGAGATAGGATAGATAAAGTTTAGTGCCGCTATCGTTCCCTGTGTGATATGAATATGTGTGTAATACGTTATTATACGCGTTGGCATATACACATCTAACATTGTGTATTCCCTTATTTCGCGTGTTGTGTTCGATACACGACGCGTATCCTCTCAGAATAACCACGTGGGTTTTACGATGCTACTACTGCTCGAAGCTAATGCTGCAACGAAGAAGACTGGAAATCATTTTATCAAGGATATTCATCTTAAAACTTATCCTACCTTCCTAATGTTTTCAAAGATGATTACGACAACAACAACGACGACGACGATGATGACGACGACGAGAACGACGGCAACGGCAACAACGACCTCCGAGTTAGAGCAACGTAGTACTGCGACAAGGATGGAGACAGGTAAAATCGATAACTGATCTTATAACATAACATTTATTATTAATTACAATCTAGGAGACAGAGAAAGGAGAAATATAGAGAGGGGAAAAAGGAATACGTGCTAAGAGACACGTGGTGAAAAAAAGAAACTGTTCCTGTCTCTCTTTCTCTTTTTCTTTTGTTCATTTTTATATATATATATATTTTTTTTTACTCTCTTTTTGTCTGTTTGCCTGACTACCTATCTATCTCCTTCTGTTTGTCAGTCAATCAGTCAGTCAATCAGTTAGTCAGTCTGTCTGTCATTCTGTCTGACTGACTGACTCTCTCTTATGTTAGTCGAATTTTGCGTCGTAAGAATAGCAGGGTAGGTAGTGCGCGTTAGAACGTCGACGTTCGGACGCGATCGATCCGTTTTCTCTCTCGTACGGTTACGGTACGTAATACGTCGTCGTCGTATCTACTACACGACACACAACGTTCGTGCTATTCAAACGAGAAAAAACGAAGGAAGAAAGGAAGGATTTGCCATACGTTACATATACAAAAATTTTTAACGCTTTTATATATACATGTATATTTATATATTTATATATTTATTACGATATATTATACATATATCACATATACGCGCGTATACACCCACCTACTTACTCACTCACACACATCTATATATTCCTCGTAACTTTCGTTTCGTGTATTTACAAATATTTCTCGTTTCGTCGTCGTTCTATATCTTGTTGGTTCGATAAGAGAGAAAATTTAACATTAAATAAAGATAATATTCGTGAGAAATATTAGATAGAGAGAGAAAGAGATACCGGCGGGGGGGGGGAAGAAAAAGAATTATATTAATATATAATAATATTATATTATATACTAAGTTACGTCAAAAAAAAAGGAAAAATATAAGAAGTTAAAGAATGAAATAAAATAAAAAAGAAAAAGAAAACGATGGCGAAGGCAGTTGATGGATACGTCATGTAGTTTCTGAGAAATTTACCGAGGTCTTCGGCATTTAGATCAGTAAGGCATTTTTGTAAACAAGCCACTGTCGTCGTCACTACTACTCCATCTCCACCCTACCCTACCCCACCCTACTACCACCCCACCACCACCACCACGCCGTCGCTGTCGCCGTCACTGCTATCGAACGTTTACGCGCGTTGTGTCCACCGAGTGCGTTTTTACCCTCTGGCTCTGTGTGACGTAATCCATTCAAGCTTACTACGCAATACGAAACGTGGCCGGTCGTACCCCACTACCTCCCCCCTCTTCATTCGACTCTTTATCTCTCTCCTATCATCGCGTCTCTCCCTCCATCTTTCTCTCTCTCTCTCTCTCTCTTTCCTTCCTTTCTTTCTTTCTTTCTACAGTCCCTGAATTATAACGTTTGTATTTATCTTTTTATTTTTTTTCCTTTCATTTTTCCTTTTCATTTATTTTTCTCTCTCTCTTTCAATCCTATTTATTCAAATCTTTGTTCAAGTCTCTCTCCCACCCCACCCCCCACCTTTTCTTCCTCTCCATTTCTTTCTTTCTTTTATTTTTTCTGAGAAAGTTTCTTAATTATAGTGTTTATATTTTGTTTCCTTCGTGTTTTCTACTCACCGCAATACGTCATTCGAAAAATTCGAAGAAAGCATTCGAGTTTCCCTCTATGAGTTTATTCTCTTCTCTCTCTCCCTCTTTGTCCCTCCCCAAACCCTCTCCATGGATCTTCTTCATGGTCGTCGTCGTTGCCTCCGTCATAGTAGTAGTAGGAGTCGTCATCGTCATCACCACCACCGTCGTCTTCTCTTATGCATCGGTGGAAACATGAATCGACGAGTGGCTGGAACGTTGACTCGTGTTTTCGAATAGGGTAACGTGCACTCTTGTCTATTCATCTTTTTCCCCTCCCTTTCTAATTTTTCATTCTTTATCTTTCTCCTTCTCCTTCTCCCTAACCGCCCCCCTCACCCTCCCTCCCTGTCTCTCTCTCTCTTTCTGTCTCTTTTACTGTAAATATATATGTACCGTCGACTGAAAGAAGCTTTCGAAAGGCACGCGCTTATGTGTTCACTCACGTTCCTCTATCTTTATCCTTCTCTCTCTCTCTCTCTCTCTTTTTTTTTCTCCCTGTCTCTTCTTCCGTTTTTTCTTATCGATAATACAGACCCCTCGCCGTTGACGACGTTGTAAAATAGAGAGAGAAGAACAAAATAATGTTTAGAAAATAAAAATCAAGGTATAATTAAAATTGTGAGAAGAGTTTTGATAATAACTACTTTATTTATCTTTCAATTTTAGTTAAAAAGATAATGTTCCTCTCTTTCCCGTAGAAAAATAATGTCTTTAGTACACACACACACACATTTATATTTATAGATATCCCTCTAAGTTTTTTCTTTCTCTCTCTCTAACTCACTCACTCACTCGTGTATTTGAAACTTATGGTGCATACGGGTATATTATGGGTGACGGGATCAAGTCAAGGTGTGCGCGCGCATAACACACACACGCGTGCACACAGGTCGCTAGACTTATATCTCTACCTCTATCTATCCTTCTCTCTCTTCTCGAAATAACTGACATTCCATAGCGAAGTACGCATACAACAACCTGTTCGAAGGTAGAACTAGTAAGTAAATGAGCGACGTGTTGTCTCCTGTAAACCACTTCATTCTCTTCTCTCTTTTATATATGTATATGTATATGTATATATATATATATATATATAGTTTATATATTTAGTTAGCCGAGAAATTCGTGCCGATTAATATCTTAAATATGTAATCAATTTTTCTCAAAAATGGTACGATCTCATTCCTTTCCGTGCAACCTAATATATTATATTATATCCCCATTAAGTTATCCAAAACATTCTTGCCGATTTTCCTCAAAATTCTTGTGTATGTGTATTTTAAATAAAAATATTAATAGAATATATTCAATGGGGCTAGGAGGAGGTGGTGATGGTGGTTCATCAGGAATCTCGGTCATATTATGTTTCGTACTCGCTAATATTCGAGTCGAATTAAAGATAGATTTATTTACCTCGTTTGTTCTCCGAATTACGTTGGTTAATCAAGATTCTACCATATATTTATAAATCTGCACCAATTTTCCGGTCAATGATCTAACGGTTGTACGTAATTTGCTTCGAAAAATTGTTGCCAATTTTATAAGAAATATTGTATATATTTATTTAAAGAGAAAAGAATATTAATCTAATATGTATTTTTTATAAATTGACACGAATTTATTGTAGACGCAATCAAATGTATCGCACGTACCACCACGCGTATTATTTATTTGTATTTCTTTCCCCATGAAGATTTAACCTTCGCTGAAGTGCTCCCTTTCTACGTCGCAACTTTTTTTCTTTATTTTTCTTACTCTTTTTCTCTAACACATACTATTTCTACGAGATACGAACTTGGGGGGGGGGAGAAAGAGAGAGAGAGAGAGAGAGAGAGAGAGAGGAATGCTTATTCATCATAAAAGCACGCGATCTAACGCGTCTTTTTTTCTAGTTCACATGCAATGAGTAAATAAATTAATTCTTAATTCGCGCATCATCCAGATGCTAGAGAAATATAGAAAGAAGATACTCGATTAGCAAAAGCAACAGCAGGCAAAACCGTTACGTAAATCAAGTAAAATACGTTCCATTTGTTATGATCGATGACAACGTTCAAAATGTGTGTCTAGGTATTAATATTTCTCATTAAAACATTCCATATATATCCGTGTGTGTTTAAATCAAAAATTTCAAATTTAGATATATATCTGTCTAGATCTTTCTCTCACTCTCATTTTCTTTGAGTAACCTTTGAACTAGTTTTTCAATCAACCGTTAACAGCTACCAACTTACGTTGCGAAAGAATTTGTTAAATCTCGTGAAAGATCGTTATCATTGTCACTCACAAATATTTATTTCTTTGTGGAGATACAGTTTAACAGATAAATAGATAAATGCCACGAATATACTCGTATATTTATATCTATGTTTTACTTGTTTTGGTATCTGACGCGTAGTAAAATATATAGGTTTATTTCATTGAAAAACGTGTATCTCATTAACGTGATTACGTTTCAACCTTCGGAGTCTTGTTCTTATTTGTTCTTTTACAGACATATTGTCGTTTATCAGCTAGAACGAATTCTATTAGTAGAGTGTAATAGTAAGTTAGTAGTAGTAGTAGTAGTAGTCGTCTTCGTCGTAGGAGTTAGAAAAAATATTGGCATGCTTAAAAGTTATATGGGACATTAGTTGCTATTGATGCGTCATCATCTAGCCGGGCCTAAAGCCGAAAATTATCGCTCACTTTGCGGGTACGGAGTCACGTTATTTATGTATGTATGTATGTATGTGTCTATCTATTTATCTAGCAAGCTAGCAAGGTATTTACGTAAACGTCGGTTTTAAATCGTCTTCTTCTTCTTCTTCTTCTATTCTTCAAAGAAATACTCTTCTACGATTCCGTGTGAGTAAACGATCGTTTCTTTCTCATTAACTACGATCCGTCTTGGTTATTAGCTAGCTCTGGTAGTTACGTACGCAATGGACGAAAGAAGGAGATTGGATAGAATGGGATAGGGCGGATGGCCTGGGATGTTGGGGGGAGGGTGGGGGGGAGTCATTGTGGATGGGCAATATATATCCTAAGGGATGTTCCAGGAGAGGATATTGCGTGTCGTTATTTGCGGACCGGTTGTGTGTGTCTCTCTCTCTTTCTTTTTATCTTTTTTTCTTTCCTTTCTTCCTTTTCTCAGCGCGCAGTATGTTTCTTATTTCGTTTCACGTTGCGCGTGTTTTCACTTGGCGATATATGTCGGTAGGTGGTCAAAAGGCATTCTCGTAAAACGCCCGGGAGAAAGTGTAATTAACAATTAAGTGATATTACGAGAGACGCCGTTAGTTAGATTTTATTGAAATAATATTATTTCTCGATTGATATCATTTGGGTCAGTATTTTTTTTTTTTTTTCTTTTTTTCTCAAAACTCGTATATTATAAAATATGTGTGTAATCC